TGCCCAAAACAAATTAAATTTTGATATATATCATCGCATTAACTTGAATACAGAATACATTTTAAAAAGAATTTTTTTATCTTCCACTTCTGCGAACAAATCAATCATAAAAGAGCTGAAACAAACATAAACGCCACTCGACGCAAGCAACCAGCAAAACAAAGCATTCCCCTCAGGAAATGTGTTAATAACCAAAAGCAAATTAAATTAAATAAAACATGTACATATAGCACTACTTAACCGAAGTCAGCGAAAAAACAGCGAGAAAAACGAAACCCGGTAATATGCCATTTACGAAATGGGATTGAAACAATTTCCCACAGGGTTTTTGTTACAAAGCTCAACCCTAAATATCATATACAAGGCATTTCACTTGATTGGGATAATAAATGATTAATTCGTTGACAATACAACTACAAACTGCCCTTTTTGTTTTCCATTGAAATAATTGTAGCCGATAATTAACAAACATGCAAGCGATCTGTTGGGATAAAACGACATTCAAAATGTGCTAAATGCATGAAATGATTAAAAAAGAAGATAATATTATATAAAAAAAAATATTTAACATTTTGTAAAGTGTAACGATTCGTATAAAATATATATTTTTTCGTAATGAACTATTCGTTTTCGCTATTTTATCTGCCCTCGCTTATCAGTAACTCAAACAATAACAATCGAGTGCTTTAGTACCCTATGTATAGACTGGGTTATCTCGAAAATTGTGAGGACCAGCATGACACGTTGAATAAAGCTGCAGAACACAAATTTTACGAATTGAGTTAGGTATATGTTACATACATACATAAGTATGGAGTTGATAAGATCGATGACATCAAGCTTCGGTTAAATTCCAACGTGGGTATTACTGGTTATTATGAATGAAACTTGAGCATTAAAACTCTTAAAGTTGATGAAATTTTAAATACAAATACAGAACTGATGACATCTGAAACTGTTTTTGAATTTAAATAATGTGAGCATGCCTATTATAAACTACGATTTGCATATGTTAAAACAGAGTTCAATATAAAGCGCAATTTTTAGCAGAACTTTTGAGCCTAATCGATTTTTAATATACTAGGTACTTGTATCTGTTTATCTATAGACCCAGTTGAAAGTCATTTTAATGCTGGTATATCAGGCGCTTCACCAAAAGGTTCAAGAACTGTATCTAATTTCACAATATTTATAGCTCTCTGACTCACTTCAATATCAAGGCGCATGACAGCAATAATTAGTTAACAAAGCGAGTAAATCTAGTGCATGTACATTGTACATACATATGTAGATAGGTTGATTTAAGGAAAACCATGTGGAGAATGGAAAAACAAACGCTGAGCGGAAGTGTGAACTACATTTGAGCGAGTAAACTGATAACCAGATACAAGGCGGATGGAACGGACAGAGAAGTATACTTGGCAAAGTTATCAATACGTGATATTCTTATCATTTGTGCTGGTATTATTATATGCAAGCTGCCAATAGTACTTTCTTGTGGGTACTAACTTCTTACCCCTTTTACCCGTTTTAGGAGTTGTTCAATACTGACCCGTTTTAACCCACGTCTGACCTTTACGACAACTCACGCAAGCCACAAACAAAATAGCAGGGCTACTCAATATCATAAACAACTTTGGCAGAGCTCCCTCAAATCACAAATCAGGGCTATAAAGTCTAGGTAAAGAATTTACAAAAAAGCTTTTTTCAGAATTGCATGCACACCATCCGTTTTTAAGAAAACGGAAATTGATTTGGATCAATAAAATTGCATAAAGGGAAAAATGTTACGGTATATACACATGTGTTCAAGAATTAGCATACATTTAAGCAATGAACAATCTTGTTTTTAAATGTGTATTTCTTGGGGTGAAAAATTTTAAAAACTTAACTTTTACTGTTCAGTTTCACAATAGTAAGTATGAGTAACAAACTTTGAAGTCAATGCACAGCCTTAAAAAAGAAATTGTTAAAAAAAAAATTCTTTCGGTTTCAAATATACCAAATCGCATAATTAAGCCTTAAAAATTACATTACAAATTTGGACCACACTTGTATACAAAAAAGTTTTAAAATTTTTTTGAATAGGTACTTACTAATTTAGATTTTTTTTTTATTTTTAAGCGATAAACTTATTTGGTTTGTTCCAATTTTTGAAGAACCAGTTTTCTGATCAATGTACATACATATATACATATGTTGACAGTTGAAAAATAACATTAAAACACTCAAAAGCTAAAAGCAAAACAGACTTTTTTTTCAAAACATTCAATAGTTAAAGGTAAAACAAACTACTCCTTTTCAAATTAATGGGATAATAATGTCTACATATTTTAGACTGAGTAAATTTGTATAATAAACTATTTTGTTCAAATTTATGGGATAACAATGTCTACATATTTTAGACTGAGTAAATTTGTGTAACCTGAAGAGTAAACATGTGTGGGTGACCTAAGCACATACTTAACAATAACAATACACCCAAACTCCCCAAAATATTAGTTGACTCGCCCCCTCAGTAGTGCGTCAGAGGGGGATGGCACCAAGGGGGGAAGACAGAGACAGCTGTCATTTCCATACTACGCAAACTGCCGTTATCAGAACAAAATACAGCTGTGGGGCAGCAACAACTCAGCTGGGGTCCCCATATACATATACAGAGCATGTGGGTGTGAGGGTAAATGTGCTGGTATGTGCGTCTGGCTTGAAATTCTGCTTTTAATTTGTACTCAAGTGCTAGTGTACTAATGCCCTATTCTCGTTGTTCCAATTGGAATGCCGGTTTTAGACTTGTCGATCTAGTTGGGAACTCACCTCGTAGACAGGTATGTCCGATTATCCATACAAGTACTGCTGGAATTTTGTTGCAGTTGCACTGTTTTTCTTTGGTTATTGAGAAATTAAGAAAACTCGATACGGATACGCATTGCAGTTTCGCACACTCGCACAATACACGAAAACGATTGTGGAAATAGCGAAATGCAATTGTGTTTAACGGCGTTTCCACATATCCCGTTATTCACCGGTAATCACTGCAAAGACTTTTAACCCCTTTTCGTTGGGCCAACACAACACAAAGAATTTGCGAGAACAATTAGGAATGCACTTCTCGGCCGTTAGAAATGCGCAGCGAACGAAGCAAAAGATACGTCCGAACCGCTCGACATGAAAAAATACATAAACCCGATAGGTCGACAGCGATTACCGCTAGCAGCTGGGGAGTATCTGGAACAGTGCTGCGCAACGGTGGCTGCCAGCCGCCTTACAGCACTGAACCTGGCGCGAAATTGGGGCGTTTAAAATGTCACGGTATTGCCCGAAGTGTTGGTATTTAAGCTAGTTTATGGCCGAATGCTTTTTTAACTGGCCTTTTAAAACTTTTTTATTTAAATAATGGCAAAAATCTAAAAATAGCAATGGCTAGTTTTAAACACTATGTTAAAATAAAACCTTCTCAAACTGACATTTAATAAAGTTTCAAAACAAAAAGTTCCATAAAAAATGTATATTATATTGAATATTTACCTTGATTTTAATTTTTGCCTTCAATACAAACAAAACAAATCCACTTACAATACACTTTGGACCAGGAAGTTAATTTTTTGTAAACAAAAAATCGTGAAATTCCTGCTCGACTAGAAAACTGAAATTAGGCGGATGTTTTTTTTTTAAACTAGACTTATAATATTTTAAATATTGTTATTATGCTAATGTTATATTACACACGGTTTGTAAATCGTCACTACTTTTTCCCATTCGTTTGTTATAAAGACGATTTTTATTTTTAAAGAGGATCCTCCATGGAAAACAGCTATTAGAAACAATTAAATATTTTATAAAAATACTACTTTTCGATTTTTATGCGTACATGCTTAAGAAAAATTATTATCTTGCTTTCCGTTGAGTCTTTCGATCGTTCCTATGGCATTGTATATGGTAAAGTAGTTTAATTCGACCCGTTGCCTAAAGGGTCAGAAACATGGCTCACAGGCAAATGAATATATCCTTCATTTTGCTCCTTTTGAGCGCAATACAAAAACATTTTAAGCAACCTATTTTAAGCATGTAAGCAACTATGAGCAAAGATAAAAGCACGTATGAGCTATTAACTTTAAGTCAATAAACCCTTCTGGCACCAAATGCCATTTATTAGTTCATATTACTGCCGCCCACCCTTTTGGTCATGTAGCAAATGAACCAGAAAAACCCGATTGGAGATCCCTGTCCGGAATTGTCAGTCTAGCTTCAGCTCCGGTAGCAAAGCCTGTGGGGAGAATTAAAATTAAACCTCGTTTTTTTTGAAAATGTGTGAGTATCAATTGAAGAGTGAGCCGCCAATCGCAAACTGCTAATCATTTACCATTAACGATTTCGCCGGTAGCATCTCCGTGTGGCAAGTGCAACAACTGTCCCTGCGGCACCAGTGGCGGAGCACCGCCCCCACAGCAGCCGCCCAACCGCCCGCCCCCGTCGTGCGCCTACCAGCCGCAGCAACAACACCATCAGCAGCCGGACAGCTGTCCGTATCCGCAGGCCCAGGCGGCAGGAGGTTGCCAGGTGAACTCGAACCAGCCGCCGGGTGACCCTGCAGCATGTAGCGTGTACCAGAACCGTGGCGGGCCGACCGTGGAGTGCACTTGCACCCAGAACCGGAACCGCGGCCCTCAGCCCATGCCGCAGGTGGACCACATAACCTGCAGCCGAGGTCCTCGGGAGCAGCCGCCCGTCATGGAGACCCGCTGCACTTGCCGCGAAAAGCCGCCAAAGGCGGAGTGCTACTGCGCCCCGCCCGTGGCCCCGCCCCCCAACCAGCAGGCGACCCAGGCAGCCCAGCCCACCCATGCCCATGTGATCTGTGGCCAGAGCGTGCCCAGGGGTCCGCAACCGTATCGGCACCAGCACGCTGGCAACCACCATGGTGGCAACCAAACGAACAGCTGCGGCCACTGCCGGTCGCAGAAGAAGCAGAAGAAGTGCCTCATCCAATAAGCGGGACGAGCATGAGGAGCACAGATCCCAGCAGGCGCTACCGAGCAGGCTACACAGATTCAACAACACTCACAACATGACAGTACTCCCAAATTTCGGATTTGCAAAATTTTCAGTTTTGCTCTGCTTTCGGGGCCAATAAACTCCATGTGACCGCCAATGGGCAAGTTGAAGAGGTGGTAATTTGTCCACTTAATAATCTAAAGTGACTCTCCTTCGGCCAGGGAACACTGCGAGCTCCAGCCAAGTGGTCCGGAGGCCATCGCACTATCGGACCGAGGAGGAGATCTTTCATAGAAACCACAGGAATCAGGAGCGGAGGCGCAGTCGCCACTGTTTCGTCATTCGCTCGCAAAGGCCTCCGAAGGGTGTCCAGGATTCGAGATGCGGTTATCTTCCTCCTTCTTCTCCGACAAGTTGCTGTTGTCCTCCTCTTCCGGCTGTTGTTCCAACCCCAAAGCCACGTACGCGGTGCTGTGGCTCTTCACCCCCAGATCGTGTGAGGCAATATAAAACCCAGGGATTCCCCGGAAACGGAAGTAGGCAGACGGCTCGCAGGATAAGAGTGTGTCATACGGAGTCTTATCCCGTACCGGAACCTCTGGGCCTCGAACCGGAGCCACAAACTGAGATGCAACACAGCGACTGTGTCCAAGCTCTGCATGAAATCCGTCAAGAGCCCCGTGATCCGTACTATCCGAATCCTCCTAGAAATACGCGATGGCAGGAACCGGATCCTCTGGTCCACTTTGACATAAACCGATTCGATAGGGATGCCACCCACCGAGCTGCTGGAGGTCCTGGAGGTAGAAGAAAAAAAGTTTCCGTTCGCACCTGTGTGGACTACGACTACGATCCCGAATATCCACCTCGCGAGTGGCCGCAAGTAGCTCCACAGATTCAGACTTTCGGATACCAACCTCAACAGAGTCCTCACACATATCCACCTCAGCGATCTCGACCAGATCTTCCTTCTTGGCCACCATCATATCAGCGTGGACCACTTCCGGGATCCTATGGTTTGTAACATTCAAATATTCCGCATTCCTTTGATCTGATTTACAAGTTTTCTTTTTTATAGAAAATGCGGAATTCGAGTTTTTCAATTGTCCGTATCGAAGATGAATTAAGGTAAATTGAAAATTTAAAATAAGTACATATATTAAACTAAATGGTTATTTCAATCAAAAAACCAAAAAACAGTTTATTAAGCAACTTAGTATGTTTTGATAGGATCACAGCATCTAAGGCCAAGCCAGTTCGAAAGTATCTGGAAATCAGGGACCGTAACACTTGCTATTTTGTTAATAAAAATTGATAAATAGGTTTTTTTTTGTATAAATAAAATCTAAAAATATTTGCTACCTATGGTGCAATACCTTCAGTATGAAACATCACATGTCCTTCAATGACATAAGGATAAATTCTATCATTATCATCATTATCCAATTCTTGTAGGACATGTGATGCCTTGTATGAAAAGTATTGCATTTTTTTATAATAAATTGTATTGTATTTTATTATCAAAATTAAAAAACAACACTTATAATCAATTTATCTGTTAGTTGAGATAATTTTTAGCTTTTTTTGTCTGAAATGCTTATTTGGGCTTCAATTTTTTTAAGCTCAGAACTCCTATTTATGCTCCCTGTTGGAGACGAACAACTGAAAGCGAATTTTTTTTTATTAATTCTCACCATTTTAATTATTATCACCAATTCACAACAATTTTAATATTTCGCTGTACTTACAGTTTTGCTTATATACTTCATCTTTGCAGTTTGACATTCCCACTTATCGATAACATCTCGGGTACAGCCCTGAGAGTTTGAATGCCACTTTACCTGCTACGCACTGAACTTAAGTGTTGCAAAGCGCAACGCAGTATCAAAGAAGAAGAGTCGCCGACGCGTGCAAAACACGCCGAGTTTATTTTATTTTATTTTAAAACAATTCAATAAGCGAGCCATGGATGATGGAGACTACGATAACGATGAGTTAGTAAAGATAGAATATTCCAATATTTCCGTGGTCTAAACTGTTAACTTTACGATAACAGCGTTGGTGGCGACGATTTCGATGATGTCGACGAGGATGTGGACGAGGACATTAATCCGGAAGAGGAGGCGGACAACATCGAGATCATAGCCCCCGGAGGAGCGGGAGGAGGTGGTGTGCCGAAGTCCAAGCGAATCACCACCAAGTACATGACGAAATACGAGCGCGCCAGAGTTCTGGGCACCCGTGCCCTCCAGATCGCCATGTGCGCACCCATCATGGTGGAGCTGGACGGGGAAACGGATCCGCTGCAGATCGCCATGAAGGAGCTCAAGCAGAAGAAGATCCCCATCATCATCCGCCGATACCTGCCAGACCACTCCTACGAGGACTGGAGCATCGACGAGCTGATCATGGTAGACAATTAGCTAGTACAGAACGTAAATACCCATAACGAAATATACAGACTAAGATTAAGAAAAGTCCAGATGGTTGTTCAATTCCAGGGGAAAATGTGTGAGCATTATTTGATATACTTCTACATTCTAGACCGAAGAACTTGAAGGCAAAGCCAAGTTTTACAACGAAGTAAATAAGAGACTTTTGTTTTCATAGCAATCGCAGAAAGCCAGTAATTTAATTCAGTTAAACTAGATAAATGAAAATACAATTTATATGATTTGCATTGTTGAAAATTTTTAGAACCCAAAAAAGCCTTCAACACGTTGCTAGCACACATTTTTATTTCACATAACAAAATGTACAGATTAAGATTAAAGCAACAAGGCGAGCTGCCGTTTAATAGGATCTCGTAAGTGAAGTGGAAACGCTCCCTAACTCCATGCGTATCCTTCGCCCCTTTGATAGCAAACGCGCTCCAGAAGACCAACGGCATGTTGGCCCGTGCGGCAGATGGAGCCCACTACTCCCGGCAGCAGGCCGCACTCGGAAAGATTCTGCTCGCCAAAGACCTGCCCGGCGGCATCTTCTCCCTCTCCGTCTGACTGTGGCGTCTCAGGGCTCTCGAGCAGCTTTTGAGTGGCTTTGCTGAAGGCCAGAGTGTTGATGCTGCTGGCCAATGTGGAGCTGAACATGTGACGCGTCTCGCAGAGCAACTCCGCAACGCTAGGCAGGAATGTGGGCAACACCAGGCCCTTAATGTCCACGCTGAAGTAGTCGACGCCATCAAGGCGGACTTTCTTGGACCGAGGGACCAAGTGCTGCATGGTGGCCTTGGGAAAGGCAACTGGCGACAGCAGAGTGGGTGGCACTCCGGCAAGACGGCCCACTGTACTGATGGCACTCTTGGCATTTAGAAGGTAGCTGAAAAACCCCTGGCACTCCACACCATCGATGAGCAACAGAGAGTTGTCGCTAAAGTCCTCTCTCATCTCGGCGGCCTGCTGTTTTCTGGCATGCGAGGACTGGATGCGACGCAGCTCGCGTTCATCCACGCCCAAACTCTCCAGCCAGTCCTCGTCGTCGTCCTCATCTTCCTGGGCCGGCGGAGGAGCCTCTTCGACTGTTTCCTGCCCCAAGGAACTGCAAGTGTTTTCCTCGGTGAAGCTGTTGTCGTGTGCATTGCCATTGGCCTCACTCTTCAGGGGCATGCTGAACTCGATCCCTTCCTGCCTGAGGGCCTGGCGCATTCCACGCGTCGACGGCGTGACCAAGGCGTGGCTCTCCGCCCGACCGCCCACTCCGGCAGCTCGGAAGAGCACCGTAAAGGTGTTGGCACACAGGTAGAAGTACGGGCACTGCCGAGCCCGCAGTAGCTGAAACAATCCGCGGAAGCTGTAGTCCCACTCCTCGGCCAGAGCCTTGCGCTCCCGTTCGCCCAAGACCACGCCCACGTTCTCCTTGGCGGTGCGCGGGAAGAGGGTCAGCCAGGGCAGGTGTGGGTGCTGCCAGTAGTAAGTGCACTGGTTGAACCGCGTGGCGTCCGAGATGTCCAGCGTGCTTTCCGTCCGCTGCGGGTCCATGCAACGTACGAAGCTGGTGAGTCCGCTGGCCAGCTGCGAAGTCTTCAGCTGGATGGCCGGCAATTCCGTGGGACAGAAAAAGCGGGCGCGCGTCTTTAGGGACCAATCCACAGGCAGGTGGACGGTGTGCTTCTGTCGGGCGGCCAACTCCGCGTCGTCCTCGTCTTCCGCATTGATTTGCGGCTGCTGGAAGAGCTTGGCAAAGGCCTGATGGTCGTACTTCTGGAGCACGAACTTTGCGGGCGGTGCACGTGTAGGAGTTTCCCGCACAAAGCATGAGGAGGCCGTGACCACCGGGTCATAATCGGGCACTTCTGGATCGATTCGCTGCTTCTTGGCATCCTCTGTGGATCTACGGGGAGGAATGGGTGATTGGGTTTCCTGGACAGAGTGGCTAACTCACTTGGCAAATGGATTTTTTCGCTTTTGGGCAAGCTTGGCCTCTAGTAGTTTGCTTTTATCAGTCTCATCCACCTGGAGTCCGGGACGCTTATTGTTATTGTTGCTCACGCGGGCGGCCAATTTGTTCTTCTTTTGTTTGAGCCGCTGCAGCTTTATAAACTAAAATAAAAATGTAATAGTAACGTGATTTGGGGCCAGGTGCTCCTCTGAATCTGTACCCACATCATCCGGTCGGGTCCATTTGGAAGCCAGACTCGCTTCGCTGGACATGCTAAATGTTATAAATATTAAACGACTTATTAAGTTGCCAAAAGTGTTTTTAGGGACACTAAAACATAAAAGACTTCAAAACGTTTGCGAATCCACAAAAAAACATTAAAGGCGCGCAGTTAGAGATGTGCAAAAGTAACAGATGGTTCAATAAATATTTGTTCGCGGTTAACTTTTATGTGCCAATTTTTATTTGCAAAAGTATCGACATCAAGCAAATTTTAAAGTTATTGCTCCTTTATCCGGAATAATAAACTATAATAATTGGCCAAAAATAGGCTTAAAATAATTTTGAAAAACCACGAAACTAAAAAAATACTACTAACATCTAAAGAAAATATGCATTTTAAATAGTGAAATAAGTTTTGTTTTCCTTAATTTCAATAAAATTACAATCAACATTATAGCAACAAATATCAATACGAAAAATTTTAAAACAAATCATCAGGAAGTGTTCTTTTATTTTACTAACAAGAAATACGTAATCTTTATTTTAAAATTTACACGCATCGATAGTCAAATAACAGCGATGCATTACTAATAAAAGATATCGATAGTTATCACGTTCGCTACCTCTACTATTAATTTTGCCACCTCTATACTGCCTGGGTCTGCCATCACTAACTGCCACAACAATAAATAAATAAAACCATACAATCTATAAAAAGCAATGGACATCGGTCAAGTCTGTCGCTTATGCGCGAATAAAATCAAGGACCCAAAGCGCGAACGCAACATATTCAAGTACTTGCGCGGCAAGCTGCTGGGGCAACTGAAGCAGATTACTGGAGTGGAGGTAACGTTGAATCCAATGCTCCAATCCATAAATGTTTACTGTTTCGCTCTTCGCAGCTGACCACCGACCAGGGACTGCCCGAGTTGGTCTGCGAGCGCTGCTTTTCCGAGCTGGACTTGGCCACCAAATTCCGCGAGCGCTGCATCTTTTCGCAAAAATACTTGCTGGACATTAAGAAGAAGGAGCGGGATTCGAGGGAAGTCCACATAGAGAATGAACTTGAACCGCTGGCCGAGCAGTTAATTGATGCGGATCAGTTGGGGGCGCACCTGACCGAGGAGTTCATGGTGTACGAGGGAGCGACCGAGGAGGGAGAAGAAATAGACGAGTTCCCGCCCGATGACGATCCCGAGGCGTCGGTAATAGCAGCTGCGGAGGCCGCCCACCAGGCGGAGATCCAGGAGCAGCAGTTGGAACGGGCCGCCAAGCGGCGCAGGAATTTCTTCATCTGCGACGAGTGCGGACAGCTGTTTAGCGACGAGCACCTGTACAACGAGCACTTGGACCGCCACCTGGACCGTCGGGAGATGAAGCAGTTCTTCCCCTGCCCCGAGTGCCCGCAGACCTTCAGCAAAAAGATTCATCTAAAGGATCACCGTGCCCAAGTCCACAGCTTGCGCAACTTCAGGTGCTCTATCTGTGGCGAGATTTTCTCGGAGATGGGAGCCAAGTTGCGGCACGAAAAGTAAGAACACTGAAAATCCAAAACTAAAAGTAGACATTTTTAATTAGCAATGCTTCTGGTGCCAGAGAATTTTATTTGCAGTTTTTTGAAAGCCAGTTCTTTGGCTTGACTTATAACGTTTACTTAAAAATAAAGTTCAAAGAGATTTCTGAGGGTGGTAGTACTTAATCCATTTTTAAGTCTGACTTAATTAACTTCAAAAGAAACATTCTAGCATTCAGGCTTTGCCAACAACTCATTATATTGAGTTCCAAATAAATCCTCAAATAGTGCGAAGTTTAATTTAGAATATTTATTTATTGCAAAATATTAATTAATATCCACAAATTTCTTTCAGAGCTCATAAAAACGAACGGCCTTACCCGTGCTTGGAATGCGGAAAGATTTTCTCTAGCGTCTCCCAGTTGCGAAACCATCGTTTAACCCACACAGACGACAACTGGAAATTCAGGTGACGCCTTTATATCAGCAACTGTTTATTTTTGATTTAAATTACGTGATTTTTCTTACAGGTGCGAGCCCTGCAACAAGGAATTTGTAACTCGAAAGGATCTGCTAGCACACACGGAAACCCAACCGCACAGACGATTGGCTAGACATATGCAGGATGAAATTGAATTGATCTTTGACAGTTAAACGCATCCCTTTTACTATTCTAAGCCTATTATTATACGTTTTTTCATTGTACTCAAAAATATCAGCTAGAACTGATATGGGTTATTTATCGAATAACTTTAACTTATTTATGTTAAATCAATTTATGTTTATATAAATAAACACAAGAGTGTGCAACTCATCAGTCGTTAAAATGTTTTCCATGCAATATGATTGAATAAGAATTAAATAAGAATAAGAAATAATTATGCCCATTAAAAAAGACACTAATTTTAACCCCAAGACTGTAATAATTCAAAGTACACAGAACTAAACATAAGAACATTTTAAGATTTATAAAAGTTTTCCATATACTTTTTCCCTTGTAACTCTATTGGTTTTCAATTTTTTTAAGTTAGTTCCTTAATATTTTAAACCTTTGTGAAAGGAACTTTAAAGTTATGTTATTTTGGAACATGTTCCTTAACCCATTTCCTTTATAGTTCGAAAATTCTATCAATTTGTTTACAAACAAGTAAAGATCAAACCAGTTGCTGATATAGAAATTATATTTTATACAATAGTTAACGTTTAAGACTGCCTATGATTTTAGAAATTTAAATTTAAATTTTTTCCATGCTTTAAAAATTGGAGACAGTCATTTCTGCTTAGCAGATTTGTGCTAATTTAATTCTCTGGCCGGAAAGGACTGTCCCAACATGAAAGAGCTTTCGAATACGGCGCATGCGCCCTTTCCAGATTTCTTATCTGCTTTGACTTGCTTTATATGGAGGGCTTGGAATGCATTTACGTACATTCCACAAGTTCAACTGGTAGCCGTCACTTCGGACCGGAGAGCACTACGTCATATTGTTATACACACTGAATCGAAGCAGCTGCCGCCGAAAAATCAATATCTTACCAAACTCCTACGTGGACGGTTGAAATCGTTTAGAAACGTGCAATATGTTTACCCGTTCGCAGAGTAAGTTCTTAAAAATTATGGTGAAATGTATGGTTTAAGGATAATCTATGATTTTCCAGGTGTGCAAATGCTGGTTGGGGTGCTCGTGCTCCTTTCCAGTGGCTACCAGGTGCACTCGTATGGCTCTAAGGACATCTTGGCCGATGCCCTGCTGACGGATCTGCTCAACCGCATGGACAACGACATGCAGGTGGGATACTATGATGTGGACAACGAGGCTCCCGCTGGTGCCAAGGATAACGTTGACCTGGTCTCCCGATCCGAATACGCCAGGCTGTGTGATGGGGGCAGCGACTGCATTCTGCCATCGGGTGCGGGTTCCCATCCTTCATTGAGGGACCACGAGTTCCTGCAGCACAGCTCGCTCTGGGGCCACCAGTTCATCTCGGGCGGAATGGGAGAGGGTCCCAATAGGTACCCGACCATAGTGAAGAACGATGCCGGACTGCCGGCCTACTGTAATCCCCCCAATCCCTGCCCGGAGGGCTACGACATGGATACGCAGGGCGGCAGCTGCCTCATGGACTTCGAGAACACGGCCATCTTCAGTCGGGAGTTCCAGGCTGCCCAGGACTGTACCTGCGACAATGAGCACATGTTCGACTGCTCGGACCAGGACAGCGCCGATACCGGATCGGACAAGGGCGACTTGAACTCCGCCGTGGAGCAGTACATCCTGCAGATGGGCCAAGAGAACAGCCTGAACAACGTGAACAGCCTGGTGAAGAAGGCCCGGTATCCGGCCATGCCCGATCCGCGCTTGGATGCGGCAGTCATGAATCCGTTCCTCCAGGGCGACCGCTTGCCCATCGCCGCCAAGAAGGGCAACCTGCTCTTCCACTAAGCTGGCTCGCTGGCAACTCGAGCCCATACGACCATACCTACATCGTTTTCCATATTGGGTGTCTAGTACTATTACCTATCAAAGTCTATAAATGTTTCTCCCCTCCCCCGCAAATAAAGTTATTCGTATTAAACCAGGGCTCTAAGCCGACACAAAAACAACATAAGTTTGTTATACCCTTGCAGAGGGTATTATAGTTCAGAAGTTTGCAACGCTGTGAAGAAGAAATTACCGACCCTATAAGGTATATATATTCTTGATCAGCATGACTAGGAAAGTCGAGTCCGTCTGATTCTACGCAAACTAGTCCCTCAGTTTAAAGCTATCTTCATGAAACTTTACCAAAATATATATATTATTGCAGGTAGAACATAAGTCGGAACGAGCCGGATCGGACGACTATAACATATAGGTCCCATAGGAACAATCGGAAAAATAATAATATTTTTTTTAATTCTTCGACATATTGTAATGATTAAATATTTCGGAATTACGGTTGAAATTTCAACAATATCATAAAGCTCCCATAAAAACAATAAAAATATTAAAAAACATTTTTTTTTTAATTTAACTAATTTGTTTTGTAATTTTTTTTTTAAATACTTTTTGACTTGTTAATAATTTGAAAGTTCAGAATTACGCTTTTAATTCTATTAAAATCGGAAATAGAGCTGCAAATCATCATATCTTCAATTCTTTTAGACATATACGCAAGTAAATCATAATTTTAATGTTTTTAAGAATATTTAATTTTTCCACTGGCTGCAAGGGTATATGAACTGCGGCATGCCGAAGTTTGGTTCCTTTCTTGTTTTTTTTTTTCTTTTAATTAATTTGTTCAATTGTTTCATTCAATATTTGTATTTAATTGTCGTATCAAAGTTGTACAATCCATAAAATTGTCAGTTATTAATTATTTAAAGAGAACTATGTATCTTCGTAATGTCGAATTTATAAATAGGTCATCTCTCTGCTGCAGTATTGAGTATTTTGTGTCAGCATGCACTGGTCGTGTGTCCAGATGGATCCACACGGGGATTGACTTAAACGTAGCCTAACAAATGATAGTATAGTACATCGTATGAATGTGGTTGCCGCCGTGGGCAACCGATTAATCTGCATCTGCCCACGCACAAACGCACATCGGCACTGGCAGTGTGATTAGCTAAGCATAATGTTCCTTGTGTCGTCAGGATCCTTCCACGTCCTGAAACTCTCTCTCTCGCGTCCCTAATTTACACACTATACAACACAATCTCGTCCTGACTCCACAACTCTAGGTGTGGGCTTAGTCTTACGTTTAGGCAGTTTATGGAAAGAGGCGGAATTCGTTAACAAGTTCTCTAGGTCTAGGTCTAGCTTAGCACTATGTCTAGGATGTAAGGGCTAGCTCACAGGCGACCGGTTCCGTTGCCGCCGTTGGTGTTCTGTCCCCAGGAAACCTGGTGGTGCGGATGCGGATTCCGGGTGGTCAGCCGCAGGGAGTTGCCGTCGCCGTCCTCGTCAATCACGTGCTCGTAGCCCTGGTTGATCGTGCCGCCCCCATTCGAGCCGTAAATTTGCTTTAAACAGAAAGAAGAATTATTATTTTAGACACAACAGAAGGGTATTGAAAGTTCGTTGATAATCTTTTGTATACCTTGAAGTCATAATTTTTGCAACAATTCATCTAAATCACATTTCAAGAAATATTTATTTGACGATATGGCTCCTATTCTATATTAAAAAAATGTCATATTTTTGTTTTAACATTTTATCTTTTGTCCCTATTAATTTTTCCCTTAAAAAATATATATTTATTTTTCATTGGTTTTACATATATTAAGGCCTCGTTTTACGCTATACCCAAATTGTCATAGAAACTATACTGTTGTTAAATGCATTTTAAACTTTTGGGTATAAAAAATTGCTCAATAAGATGAGTATTAAATTAATAGCACGAAAGTATCAAAATAAAACTTATGTGGTTTAAAAATAGGACCTTAAACTACAGTTAAAGACTCTTCGGTATAGAAATTAAACCTTAAAAATATAGGTGTTATACTATTTAGTATTGAATTAGTACATATACTTTAATACTGACTCTAGTTTATTTTCAAGAAACACTTATGAAAACTAAACTTTAATTTTTTTTTGGATGTAAATAAATATTTTGAAAAGCATAAAATATAATATCATCCTACCTCTGCAGCACCTCCGTTTACATTAAATACATCCTTGATGCTGATGCCGGCATTCGAAACGCGGCCACTTCTTTGATTGGGAAGGGCTCCATTGTTGTTGATCTATATTAAGAGACAAGAGTCAGTGGCCAAGCCTTATTATGTGTTAAAATAACTCCAGATCTTACCGGTGCACCCGTGGTAATCCCATACTCGTTTTTGGCACCCAATGTCTGCATGGCGGACTTCCGTCTTTCGGCCATCACCGAATTTTTTCGCACCTCCAATGCCCTGATTGTCTCGGCTCGCATTGTGAGGCGGCGGGTGAGAATGGGCGTGGCTGGATTATTTTCCGCATCGGCAGTGAGTTTCAGGAACCTCTTCTTGAAAGCCACATCCAGGGTGCCGATTTGGCGACGCGGCTGCCTCGCCTTCTCCAGATTTTGGATGGTCTTTCGCCTGGCTATGCGATCTGGCCCGGAACCGGAATCATTGTCGTAGTCCCCATCGATGCCCTGTAGCCTCTGCAAGTTCTTAACGATCTCCACAGCATGCTGAATGGGGTAAAACATTAAACATTGGACATTTATATCATAAATAATGGGTTAGATCACATAAATTAAATCAAACAATTTCACCCACAAATTTTTAAAATTTATTTCAAAAATTTAAAGGCTAAGGTTTTTTTTTTGAAAATTATAATAAAAGTATATTAAGAATACAACAGTCCAATTTAGCTAGGGTATGGATAGTTATTTTCTCTTCACTAGCACTAGAGAGCTAAGGCTCACGTTGAGTTATATATTTTTAATTTTGTGTTATTTTTAATTCTTAAAAAAAACTAACATAGTTGTTCGCTAAAAGCCAAGTTATTTCCTTTAAAGTGTACCCAAAAAGTTCAAAATTTATATTTTAATATACCGGCCAATATCTAACGATATAGTTTTGGTTTTTAATTTCGGATTTTTCAGTACCGAGTTATGATCTTTTTCCGAGACAGTCTGAGTAATTGCTCCCGTGCCATTTTATTCATTACTTCTCTGTGAACTAAAAGATTTTTACAGTTTCGTCAAAGAAAATTCCCAAAAAATAGGTGTTTTTTGTTTTACACATATTAACCCTACTGCTCCTACTGTAGTTATACGTATATTCTATATTGATTTTCTAAGAATTACTAAAAAATAAATAAATTTAACATTTAAGAGTACGTACCTTATCTATTAG